GATCGGGACTTATCGAATGTTAAGCCTTGTGTCTATAATGCCAAGAAATCGATCTAAGGTCTCGAACGGAAGAAGTGGTGATTATTTTAGCCATATATTCTTACACCATGTGCGAAACCAATTCAATCTATCGCTCTACTTTCCTTGTGATATTGGACGTGTAATATTGTAATACTAAAGCCAACGGCACACGATGCTTTTTTTCTTACTAGTTTGCTAGCTGGATTCGCATGCTTGTTGAACTCTTGTCTTCGATTGATATATTTTTTAGATCCAAAAGAATACACCAATCAGAGACAAGAGCTCAACGAGCACGCAAATCCAGCTAGCAAATCAGCAGGAAAAAAAGCATCGTGTGCCGCTGGCTTTAATAAAAAAAACTTTGATTTTTAGAATTTGAGATGTGATTATTAAAATTCCTAGAAATTCTATTTTACCATTGGTTTTCGTTCGGAAGAATACATTTTTTAGAGACAAAAGTATTTCTATCTAGAAAAATCCTATTAGATATCGGATCATTGTGATCGGATGTGTGAGATGTTGGCGCAGTGTGAGTCCTGCCTAAGGTTACACCGGCGGAAGTGGCAGCTGCGGTCGAAGCGGATGTCATCGCCCAATAGAGAGTAATGGCGTCTGCGGCGAGCGCACGATATTCTCGCGGTTCGTCTGTTACATTGCGAGCTGGTTATTGAGACGACCAGCTCAGTCCCAATTTTTATCGCTTTCGTCGAGAGCTCGTTGTGCAATCGGCAGTAGTTTGATCGCGTTTGTAAACGAAGCCCGAAGATCTCGAGACGATACGACGATCTGCGAAAGCGTGGCGGTCGAACTGGTGGTTGTGTATGTTGTACATCGTCTCGTACATCGTTAACGGAAAAGTTGAAAAGTATTCGACTTTGATATTTGAAACGCTGATTCATTCGATGCGGTGATACTGGCTGTCCATCCGAATTGACTGATAATAAATTGAAAAATCTTCGGAATCGATCATCTTATTACATTGTACACGGTCTGTGTGTTCCGTGTGTGTTGCATGGAATAATGTAACGTGATGTGTACGTGTCATTTTTTATTCTTTTTAATTATCTCTCGCCTGATTCATCAATTAATTATTCCTTGTATAATTACGATTAGAAAAGGTGACAGGTATTTTCTAAAGGACAAGAACTTAATTTTAATAATCAAATTCAACACGAGATTCATATGAAGAATTGCTATGTAGATTTCTCTTGGAGGCATATTTGCCTTTACGGCAAAGTTTACATGTTATAAGTGATAATTAAACTGGAGCAACTTTTAATAAGTCATTATTAATGAAAAATATAATATGTAGAACAATTATGTTATTATTTGATTATGTTATTTTTGATTAATCTAATTTAGATATTTATAATAATTTATAAAGATCTAAATTAGATTGATAAAAAAAAACATTAAATAATATAATTGTTCTATATATTATATTTTTCATTAATAATGGCTTATTAAAAGTTGCTCCAGTTTAATTATCACTTATATTGATATATTGAAAAATTTAAGTAGATTGAATTGTTGAATAATGATCTTTTTTTGTTATTATATACTTAAAAAAAGAAATGCAAACATTTTTAAACAATACAATTAAATTTATGAATGAACACGAATGAACCTAGTTTCTTGTTTGGTTTAACATATCTTCATTTCTAAAATTTAAAACTTTATTTCAAAACTTTATTATTAAAATTCATTTTATATTCAAGATTAATATATTTTTTTTTATATTTTCTTTACAGAATGTTCTGCAAGAATGAATTCAATGATTCATTATAGAACTATTATTATCATGAACTATGTCTGACCCTTGTTGTTTATCTAAGCTGGACAACATTTAATCAAAATTAATTGTCTGCATTTATATCTTCTGATAATGTCTGCAAATACTCAATTTGCAAATCCACCACCAGCTGTAAGCTTACCCAACATGTCCGTGCCACCACCTACGACTCCAAACTTGTCTGCACCACCACCAAATTTAACCACTATAAATACATCAGGAAGCTATCAGCATCGATATGCGAACCATAGAGAGGGCAATCGCGGGTTTTTCAAACCGTTTAGACCTTATCATGCTCCAAAAATTGTTGCTGGGGGGCAGGATACTCTCCAAGATGAATTTGATGGGAAGAGGCTCAGGAAATCCGTTATGCGAAAAACTGTCGATTACAATTCCGCTATCATCAAAAGCTTAGAAGTAAATATAAATTTTATTGCACATTTGTTAATAAAATAATGTTTTTTGAGATCATGTCTAAACTTGAAAATTTCCATAGAATCGAGTATGGCAACGGGACTACAGGGATCGCCGCGCACTTCAGCCAGATGTAATATATTATCCCGATTTACTTCCTCCACCGAGTTACATAGACAATCCAATAAATGCAGTTACCACAAGGTTTGTAAAAACGGCTACCAATAAAATGCGTTGTCCAATTTTTTGTATGGCTTGGACACCAGAGGGTAGACGTCTCGTCACTGGCGCTTCGAGTGGAGAATTTACATTATGGAATGGCCTCACTTTCAATTTTGAAACTATTCTGCAGGTATATATATATGCTATGTTTTGAATGTATTATATTGAAACTTGCTTGAATTGACTCTTAATGTATTATATTGATAATGTATTATATTATATTGTCTAATTGACTCTTAATGTATCGTATATAAAGTTTCAACTTTTTCATATATGTATAGAGTATATCTCAAAAGATAGGCTCGCTTTGCAATTATGTGATTCTAGCTCTGAATCTTATAGGCTGCAGAGATTATTTTGTCATATGAGTTATATGAGGTTTAAAAATTTTTTGAGAAAAATAAATTTCTTTGTTTAGGCGCACGACAGCCCGGTGAGGACAATGGTATGGTCGCACAACGAAAGCTGGATGGTAACAGGGGACCACGCGGGCTACGTGAAATATTGGCAGAGCAACATGAACAATGTCAAGATGTTTCAAGCGCACAAAGAAGCGATTAGAGGACTCAGGTATATCATCCACCACACTAGTCCTTACGTCTCTTGCGTCACTGTTGCCGATGATCGATCCATCCTTGCCGTAGTTAGGATATCGGACGTGATTCTTCTTCTCTTCCTTTTCTGGTTTTGTGCCGTTTCTGGCAGAGCAATAGTGATTCTTGTATGGGTACACAGGTGATTTTGACAAGTTTCGAGATAAAACATTGGATAGAATACGAAATACAATATCCGCCGTGAACTATGGAATGAACCATGTTCGAGAGACATTAATCGTTGAAAGTCTATCAAACTCGTGTAAAAAATTTTCGATATCTTTTGCCGAATTGAGACTTTTGAAATGGAATAATTTCTGATCGTATAAAATATTTTCAATTATATTGTTAAATTTTTATATATATTTATATATATATATATATAAATAAT